TAGAAAGGAACAACCAGTATCAGCCTTTCTAAAAAATACCAAAAAATAAAGAACATCAACATAATTAAGAACTTGCATCAACTAATGGGCAAGACAGCCAGCGAATATTAAATGGCAGTATAAAACTCACACATATTGTTATTAATTCTAAAGTTAAATCTACTAAATCCCCCAATCCAAAGACACAGACAGGCAAAAAAAGCCAAGACCCATTGGTATGCTACATCCAGATCCACCTCATATGCAAGGATGCACAAAGTCTCAAAACAAAGGGATGGAGAAAAATTTACCAACCAAATGGAAAGCAAAAATAAATAAATAGAAAGCAGGAGTTGCAATTTTTGCTGATAAAATAGACTTTAAAGCAACAAAGATCAAAAGAAGCAAAGAAGGATATTACATAATAAAAGGATCAATGTAACAAGAAGAGCTAAAGATCCTAAATATATACACACCCAATACAGGAATACCCAGATATATAAGACTTATAAAGAGACTTGGACTCCCACACAATAATAGTGGGAGACTTCAACATCAATATGAGACAGATCAGTGAGACAGAAAGTTAACATCAATATTCAGGACTTGAACTCAGATCCAGCACAAGTAGACTTAATTAACATTTATAGAACTCTCCACTTTAAATACACAAAATATACACTCTTATCAGTACCACATCACACCTATTTATAGGTTTAAATGAAATATTGGTTGGCTGCTTGTTAATTATTTTCTTCCCTCATTTTTTTTTTAATGTCTCTATTATTAAACACAATTACAGGCATACCCATTTTTAGGCTGCATTTTAGCCTGGCCAATAAAGCAACACCCCTGTTCTCTCTCCCTCTTCCTCTCCGTCATTCTTTTTTTTTTCTTTTTCTTTTTTTTTTTCTATTCTTTCTCTTTCTTTCTCTCTTTCAAAAAAAAAAAAGAGGTAAAAGAAGGTGGAGATCCAGCAGCCCCCCTTTAAAAAAAAAAAAAAGAGACTGCAGTACTATCTATGCTTCCACCTCTCTTCTTTCCACTCCTTTTGAGCTGCTTACTCTAAGAGGAGAAATCTGAATAATCTCATTATTTATTGGGTCATGTTTACCAGTGAGCAAGAATACTATGTACCAAAACCAGAGGAATCCAGGCTCTATCCCTTAGCCTCTAGCCCCTTTCTCTCTGCTCCCACATGGTACGCTTCCTTCTCACTCTTCTGCCCCTGAAATGGAGGGCCTAGGTTTTAGTGGATAAATAACCCCTAATGCTGGACTCTGCAGACCTTAATTTAGATCCCGTCATTTGTCTCTTTTAAATTCTCCCTGCCTTGCCCTGTATCAACACCAAGTTAAAACCACAATTCTGAGATCCAACACTGTACTTCCTACAAAATTCTACTTTTGGTAGCAAGCAACTTGTGCCTGTGACTCCAAAGGTTCTCATCTGTCAGTCCCATAACGGCAGCAAGTCCCCACGAGGTTCTGCTCTTCATGGAGTAAGGAAAAACCTTGAACTAATCCATGCATGTCTCCTGCCAAGCTCTTTTTCCAGAAAAGACTCTGATTTCTTATGAAATCTGGTGTCCATGGAAGCTGGATTAAATACTAACCTCCAGTTTACATTTCAAGAGAGGGCTTCTTAGGCTTTCTCAATTCAGTAAGCTGACATAGAGTAATTTAAGATCGATTCTCCATCTGATAATATCCAGTTTCTTTTTTTTGGAGACAGAATCTTGCTCTGTCACCAACCTCAAACTCACTGCAACCTGCGCCTCCTGGGTTCAAGCCATTCACCTCCCTCAGTCTCTTGAGTAGCTAGAACTACAGGTATGTGCCACTATGCTCAGCTAATTTTTGTATTTTTAGTAGAGATTGGGTTTCAGCATGTTGGCCAGGCTGGTCTTGAACTCCTGATCTTAAGTTATCTGCCCTCCTTGCCCTCCCAAAGTGCTGGGATTACAGGTGTGAGCCACCACACCTGGCCAATATCCAGTTTCAAACAGCATCTTCTCCCAAAAACCGAAATTCCACCAGTGTTTACTAAGTGCCTATTACATGCAGTTAAAGAAGCTATGACAAAGAACATAATGAAGCAAGAATTTAATACATTTATTCCATTTTATATGTAAATGTTTTCATTATCACTAACGTAGACTAAAGATAATGATACTTTCCCTTACCAGAAACTTAAATAAGAAAAACAAAACCTGTGGTTAAATTTAAAACCTCACTAAGGAACCAAAAACTTTTTGTTGTTGTAGTTCTTATTTTCTAAAACTTGACAAAATTATTCTAAAGTTCTTCTGGAAGAAAAGGTGTAACATGTTGTAGGGGAAAAAAGGACTGAGGACAAACTTTCCTAAACAACAAAATAAAATGTACAGTAGGGCCCCTTATCTGCAGGGAATATGTTCCAGGACCACCAGCAGATGCCTGAAACCACACAGCATCTAACCCTGTATGTACTTTGCTTCTTTTCCTACACATACCTATCTCTAATGAAGTTTAATTTATAAATTAGGCACAGTAAAAGATTAGCAACAAAAAGTAATAATTTTTTAAAATGGAACAATTATAGCAATATACTATAGTAAAAGTTATATGAATGCAGTTTCTCTCTCTCTCTCTCTCTCAAAATAGCTTACTGGACTGTACTCACCGTTCTTTTTATGATTTGTCACTCTGATAACCATGATGGCTATTAAGTGACTAATAGGTGGGCAGCATATGCGGTGTGGATACTCTGGACAAAGGGAAGGGATGAGTCACAGCCCAGGTGGGATGGAGGGGGAAAGTACAAGATTTCACCACACTACTCAGAATGGCGTACAATTTAAAACATATTCAGTGTTTATTTCTGGAAATTCCCGTTTAATACTTTTAGACCACAGTGTACTGTAGGTAACTGAAACTGCAGATAACAGAGGACTAGTAAATACTACAAGAAATAACAGACTCAGCCTGGAAGGCTCAATAGTGCACGTATTATAAAAAGACACATCCTTCTAAATTAACCTATAAATTCCATGTAATTCTAGCTTAAAATACAATGGCCAACATTCTCAATTCTTACATATATTGGTACTAAGTTTCTCATAAGGAAGTGCCAAAGCTTCACTAAGATGATCATCTGAAGAAGAAAGTCCTGATTAGAATACTACCTAAAATTGTTCTTTGGTGGTATTTAAGTCTCCTGAAAAGAATATAAACTTAGTTATTATAGAACATATTTTTTCCCAAAAAGTTACATGTAAATCAAACTTCTAAATATCATATCCTGCTTTCCTGTTAATTTCATTTAGAAATTGGGAATGAAAAAATAAATATCATACTTAAAATTGTAATAAACTATATAAAATTACATGTTAAGGGAAAATAATTCTTTGCTAAAATATTGAAGAGCTTGCCGAGACTCCAGATGAAATTTAAAAATATAATGTTCTTATTTGTGTACCAAACAAAACAACTTAGAAGCACAAAACAAGAACTGCTAAAATTCAACTAACAGGTCATTCAGCTGCTGTTACAAAGAGAGTGAGTGTGGCAATCTGGTTAAGAGTGTGAACTCTCCAGCCAGGCTGACAGCTCTCTAGTTCCATTGCCAACTATGTGATAAGCAGCCTCCTTACCCGCCTCCATCTCCATTGCCTCATCTGGAAAACGAGAATAGCAATAACCTGCCTTTTAGGACTATTATAAGAATTTCATGAAAAATACATGCAATGCTTTAAGAACAGTGTCTGACATATAATAGGTGTTCATATACCTATCAGTTTATATTGAATCCCCTTCAAATGTTATGATTTTTAAAAAACTTGCAAAATCTTTGTTCCAGTGGCTCGCCCTTTTGTGGTAGCTGCTAGCATTTAAGAATGAATGAGCTGATCTGACTGGTGATAAAAGCCAAATAATCTATCACAGGGAACAATTCAAGGGGCAATAGTAAACATGAAAAACTGAGCACACGATAAGTCAAGGAGATCTAAAAGTTTAAGCCATCAAGCACTAAAGGTCAAATACTTTATTTCATGAAACATAGAACACTGGACTGGTTTCAGGAGACCTAGGATCTGGTTGCAGCTTACCTGTCAAAGCTTACCTGCTGCCCTTAGGTAAATCACTTAACCTCTCTGGAAACTCTTTCTTTGTCAATAAAATGAAATTGAACGATTCATAACTAAAAAAGTTTATGATTTTTTTTTGAGACAGTTTCGCTCTTGTTGCCTAGGTTGGAGTGCCATGGTGTGACCTCAGCTCACTGCAACCTCTGCCTCCGGATTCAAGTGATAACTCCTGCCTCAGCCTCCCAATTAGCTGGAAGTATAGGCACGCACCACCATGCTTGAATAATTTTTTGTATTTTTAGTAAAGACAATGTTTCACCATGTTGGGCAGGCTGGTCTTGAACTTCCGACCTCAGCTGATCCACCTGCCTCAGCCTCCCAAAGTGCTAGGATTACAGGTGTGAGCCACTGCACCCGGCTACCTCCAAATATTATGTTTAAGGAACACTTTGGTTATTGGAGAATTCTCAATATTTCCCTTTACAAACATAGTAATATAAATCAAATAGGATATGTATTAACTACCTCAATGAATTTCTCCTAGGTCCCTCTCTCCTGGGCTACTTTTTAACAAAAATCACATTTTTATCTTTCTGTTGTCACAATGGTCACTTATGATAAATTCCTTTATAAAAATTAATCTAACTTTAGCCTTTAAGGGTCTCCAAAAAACAATTTTGGTAAATAACTCAGTGGGTCTTAGGTTCATTTAGGTTCAGTTCTGAAATATATTAAAGTCTACAATTCCATTTGCAGTTTGGATAACATAAAAAAAAAATAGGTAATCAGGCACAGCTATTACTTTTTTCCCAGAAAATTGAACATGTTTATACAAATACCTCTTGAAATCCAGCTTGATGCCTTTATTGCTTTTCGTAACTTCAGTCAGCCACTCCTGTAGCGTATTATCACTGTTTGTTTCAGGGGGATGGGCCATAATTGGCTGGCTGTGTTCTGCCCCATCACTTGGAAGAAGGACATCAGCCTCTATCATGTGAGCGGTACCTGTTCAAATAAAAGAACTCAAGTTAATGCTAAGAAAACGGGGCACAGAACTGCAGAAGCCACCATGCCCAGTATTTTTTGAGGAAGATTAAAAAAAAAAAAGGAAAGAAAAGTAACACTCAGTAAGCAATTATTCCATGCCAGGTAGTATACAAGGTCCGTACATGTTGTCCTTAGATTAGCAAACAGATGCCAAGAGGTTAAATGACTTTCCCTAAGTCACACAGGTCGTAAGCTGTTGACATACTTCTGAATTGCTTTCCAGTACCTACAAAGTGAATACATAATGGAAGGCTTAATAAGTATTTGCTGAAGTTTTCTGGGAATAAAAATTGTAATTTTATCTTCTCACTCCTCAAATTAGAAATTATAGATATTCACTGCTCACATTTGAAAGTCTAATTTAAAAATTCACTTCTTTGACTCACAGTTTAGCTACTGCTTAAAAGCATACATCCTTGAACAGGTAATGAGCTTCACCAGACATGGTGTGAATATGTTCAGCAGGCTGTGACAGACTGACTCCAAAGATGGTTGCCAACAACTCCTCCCATACACGCATACCCCTTTTCCCGTCAACTTCCCTTTCCCTGCCTCTTCATCTGGGCTGATCTTGTGACGGGTTGGGGCCATAATTCCCAAAATACCACAATCTCGAATTTTGAAATCCCAGAAGATCAAAATCCCTGAAGTCTAAAATCCCCAAAATCACGATTCCAAAAGATCAAAATCCTGAAAATATTGGAAAAAGTAATTTTAAACATTCTTTAAAATACATTTATTTACATTAAAAAAAATTTTTTTAAGAGACGGGGTCTTGCTGCGTCACCCAGGCTGATGCAGTAGCAGAATCATACCTCACTGAAGCTTTGACCTCCTGAGGTCAAACAATCCTCCCGCCTCAGCCTTCTGAGTAGCTACAGGTGTGGGCCACCATGCTCAGCTGATTTTTAAAAAAATATCTGTTGTAGAAACAGGGTCTCACTATGTTGCCCAGGCTGGACTTGAACTCCTGGGCTCAAGTAATCTTGCTTTGGCCTCCCCAAGTGCTGGATTATAGGCATGAGCCACTGTGCCAATCCTGTTCATTTTTAAAAAGGGCATTTATTTTGAGAAACATATGAAAACATGGCAGAACCCTTCAGAAGCCACTTTACACAATAAAACAGATGATAATAACCACATTTTTGCAAACATAAACACTCAGGTATGTTAATGAGTTGCAAAGATGTAACAGTTATGAGCAAGTGAACTGTAGTCATAAAGAAATAGCTTAAACGACTGCAGTCATCTGAAATAACTTGATGAACAACCTAAGTCTTTTGACAAGATCAATCAAAAACTGTGATGGGTTGCCACCACACATGTAGTCAGTTACCCAAAGAATGGCGACCTTGAGAAACTTCATCTTTCACAAATGCAGACATACAAACAGATATCTCTTCATCAATTGTGAAAGTTTCAACATTTTTATCAATAAGCACAATGGTTATACACAAAGTCAATGTTATGAAATGTACCTCTGTGGAGTCAAATTTGAAAAAAAAAACATAAAACAAATTAGAACACTCTAAAAGTCTTTACACAATTTATATCTCTAATATTGAAAACAATGCAAAGATAAAATACATAGCATAGAGAATTATACGATATAATTCTGACAATTTAAAATAGCGGAAATGGCCATGCACAGTGGCTCATGTCTGTAATTCTAGCACTTTAGGAGGCCGAGGCGGGCAGATAACCTGAGGTCAGGAATTCAAGACCAACCTCGCCAACATGGTGAAACCCAGTCTCTAACAAAAATTCAAAAATTAGCCTGAGGTGATGGCATGCACCTGTAATTCCATCTACTTGAGAGGCTGAGGCAGGAGAATCACTTGAACCCAGGAGGTGCAGGTTGCAGTGAGCTGAGATTGTACCACTGCACTGCAGCCTGGCCAACAGATCAAGGCTCCATCTCAAAAAAAAAATTTTTTTTTAAGATAGACAATATAATAGGATGATCCAAGATGGCCAAATAGCAACAGCTCTGGAGTGCGGTTCCCAGCAAGAACACAGATGATGAGTGATTACCGCATTTCCAAACAAGTTTTTCCTGCCCACAGACCCAGAGATTCCTGGGCGGAAAAGCGCCCTGAGTTTCCAGCACAGCTGTTTCAGCCGGCGCAGTGGATCTCCACACAAACACACACAAATCTGGGTGGCTGTTTCAACTGGCGCCTGAACACCTGGGAGACAGAGTTGCCCATTCAACTGAAAAAAAAGGGGGCTGAAACAGGGAGCCAGGTGATCTGGCTCGGTGGGTCCCACCCCCACAAAGACCAGCAATCTGAAATGTTCTTGATTGAGAATTTCACAGCAAGCATAGATGGACCCAGGATGATCCAGTTCTGTGGGGTGAAGGGCATCTGCCATTAATGAGGCAGTCCACCACTACTGAGGCAGTCCGCCATTACTGAGGAAGTCCGCCATTACAGGGGCAGTCCACCATTATCAAGGCAGTTAACTACACCTCTATAAACAAAAACCGCAAGTTCACACAGCAGCTGGGCAGAGCCCATGGCAGCTCAACAATGCCTCTGCTGGCAGACTGTGACTAGGCTACCTCCTCACTGGGCAGGGCATCTCTGAAAGAAGGCAGCAGCATGTCAGAACTTACAAATAAAGTCCTACCTTCCCAGGACAGAGCACGTGGGCAAAATAAAGGCGGTTATGAGTTCCGCTGCAGCAGACTTAAAAGTACCTGCCCAGCTGCTCTGAACAGAACAACGGAGCTCACAGCTCAGCACTTGAGCTCCAATAAGGGACAGATTGTCTCCTCAAGAAACTCCCCAAACCCTGTATATCCAAAGAGACAACTCATAAAGGAGAGCTCAGTCTGACATCTGGCGGGTATCCTTCCGGGACAAAGATAACAAGAAGAAACTGGCAGCAACCCTTACTGTTCTGCAGCCACCACAGGTGATCCCCAGACAAGCAGGGTCTTGAGTGGACCTCCAGCAGTCCTACAGCAGAGAGGCCTGATTGTTAGAAGGAAAACTAAAAAAACAGAATGAAATAACTTCATCATCAACTAAAAGGATGTCCACTCAGAGACCCCATCTGAAAGTCACCAATTACAAAGATCACAGGTAGATAAATCCACAAAGATGGGAAGCAACCAGCGCAAAAAGGTTGAAAACACCCAAAACCAGAACGTCCTTCCTCATCCAAGGGATCACAACTCCTCACCAGCAAGGAAACAAAGCTGGATGGAGAATGAGTCTAATGAATTGACAGAAACAGGCTTCAGAAAGTGGGTAATAAAAAACTTCTCTGAGCTAAAAGAACATGTTTTAATCCAATGCAAAGAAACTAAGAACCTT